GTGCTTGATCCTTGGACTCTGGGATCATGAGCTGAGCCGAAGGCAGATGCTTAACTGACTGAGCCACCCAGGTGCCCCAATGTCCCTTTGTTTTAATACCATTTGTTAAAAAGACTGCCCTTCCTTCATTGAACTGTCTTTCACTTTTGCCAAAAATCAGTTGGCCATATTTTTGTATATCTATTTCTGGACTCTGTTTCATTGATGTGTCTATCCCTTTGTAACTCCACATTGTCTTGATTAATGTAGCTTTTTAGTAAACCTTAAAAGTTGAATAGTGTGATTCTGCCAATTTTTTACTTTTTTCAAATGTTTTGGCTATTCCAATTCTGTTGCCTTTCCAAATAAATTTGAAAATCAATTTGTATTTATCTACAAAAGAATCCATGCTGAAAATTTGGTTGGGATTGAACTAAATCTGTAATTTGAGGAGAATTGACACCTTTACTATCTAGAGTCTTCCAATCCATGAACATGGTATATCTCTTCATTTATTTAGGTCTTCCTTGATTTCTTTCATCTGCATTTTTTCATTTTCAGCATATAGATCTTGTACATATTTTTATACTTGTATCAATATATATTTTTGGAGTATTTTAAATGGTATTGCTTTTTGAAATTCAGTTTCTAATTGTTTATTGCTAGGAATATGTTGATTTTTCTGTATTGAGCTTGTACTCTGTAACCTTGCACTTATTAGTTCTAGGAGTTTTTTGGTGGGTTTTCTGGGATTTTCTATGTAGACAATCATTGTTTATGAATAGAGGCAGTTTTAGCTCTTCCTTTTTAATTTGTATGCCTTTTATTTCTTTTTCTTGCCTAATTACACTAGATATGGCTTTCAATACAATGTTAACTAGGAGTGGTAACAGCAGGACATTCCTGCCTTGTTCCAGTCTTAGTTTTCCAATTTACGTGTGCATTTCACCATTAAGGATGTGTTGGCTTTAAAAAAAGGGGGTGTGTGTGTGTTAGCTGTAGGATGTTTTTTTAGATGTCCTTTATCACGTTGATGAGATTGCTTCTTATTTCTAGAATAGATGTTGAATTTTGTTGACTTTCTTATAGTCCTCTTACGGGTATTTATTTCATTTGAGTGAGTTTGTAATTTTTGAGGTATTGGTCCAGTAATATATAAACAGAATTAGACACTATGACCAGATGGGGCTTATTCTGAGAATGTAGTGCCAGTTCATTATATGAAAATCATATAAGCTATCATATTGACAGTCTAAAAAAGAAAAACCTCATGATTATACTCATCAATGAGAAACAACTTTTTTTATATCACTCTTCTTTCTTTTGGGAGTCTGGAAATAGCAAGTTAGAACTTTTCATATTGGGCGCCTGGGTGGCTCAGTTGGTTAAGCGACTGCCTTCAGCTCAGGTCATGATCCTGGAGTCCCAGGATCGAGTCCCGCATCGGGCTCCCTGCTCAGTGGGGAGTCTGCTTCTCCCTCTGACCCTCCTCCCTCTCATGCTCTCTGTCTCTCATTCTGTCTCAAATAAATAAATAAAATCTTAAAAAAAAAAAGGACTTTTCATATTGTTCCACAGGTCTGTGAGGCTCTCTTCTTTTTTTTCCTCCATTTTTCTCTGTTGATCAGATTTGATAGGTCTTCAAGGTCACAGACTTTTTTTCCTCTTATTTTTATTCTGCTATCAAGTCTACATGTTGCAGTTGGTTGATAGTCTCTTAAGGCTTTTTTTCTCCCTACAGTTTTTCCTTACTTTGGGATATTTTTGTTGTAAAAGGTAGTTTATTAGTCCCAAATGATTTTCCACAGTGTGGATTTTCTAATTGTACTTCTATCATTTAAAATGTTTTCCACACCCTGTATTTTTTGTAGGTTGGGAGTTAGATCTAGAATAAGGTTCGGTAAACTACAGTTTGAGGGTCAAATCTGGCCTTTCTCTGTTTTTAAAAATATTGATTGAAATGTAGCCACACTCATTCATATACATATTGTCTGTACCTGTATATGTGCTGTGGTGGTAGAGCTGAGTCGTTGTGGCAGAGACTGTGTGGCTGGGAAAGCCTAAAATATTTATGCCCTGTTCCTTTATTGTTTGTTTGTTTATTTATTATTTATTTATTAATTATGAGTAAAGTGATAGAAATTTATTAAGCAAGGAAGCAGAAAAAAAAACCTCTCGGGAGTGAGAGGGGTCCCAAAGCCTAAAATATTTATGCCCTGTTCCTTTATTTTTTATTTATTTATTTATTAGTTATTTATTTATTATGAGTAAAATGATAGAACTTTATTAAGGACACAGAAAAAAAAATCTCTCGGGAGTGAAAGGGGTCCCAACAGGGTTGCCCTGCCCTGTTCCTTTAAAGTAAAATTTTGATAATCTCTGATTCAGGCTTTTACAAATTCAGTTTGCTTTTTTATTTATTTATTTATTTATTTTTTATTTTATTTTTATTTTTATTTTTTTTTAAAGATTTTATTTATTTATTTGAGACAGAGAGAATGAGAGACAGAGAGCATGAGAGGGAGGAGGGTCAGAGGGAGAAGCAGACTCCCTGCCGAGCAGGGAGCCCGATGCGGGACTCGATCCCGGGACTCCAGGATCATGACCTGAGCCGAAGGCAGTCGCCCAACCAACTGAGCCACCCAGGCGCCCCGCTTTTTTTTTTTTTAAAGATTTTATTTATTTATTTGAGAGAGAGAGAATGAGAGACAGAGAGCACGAGAGGGAAGAGGGTCAGAGGGAGAAGCAGGCTCCCCGCCGAGCAGGGAGCCCGATGCGGGACTCGATCCCGGGACTCCAGGATCATGACCTGAGCCGAAGGCAGTCGCTTAACCGACTGAGCCACCCAGGCGCCCGCTTTTTTTTTTTTTAATGAACTTAATAGATGGTCATTTATATTTGCCTCTGTGGCACATAATGTTTTATTGTCTGTATTTTTGTGATGTTAATAGTCATTGCTTATATTCAGGGCTTTTTAAATGATTCACCTACATTTTTGATGGATTTTTTTTTTTGCTGGGCATATAATTTTAGATGGCTGTTTTTCCTTCACTGTTTTCTGGCTTCCGTTCTTTATGACTTATTGTCAGCTCTCAGTCTAATTGTTAGTCTTTGAAGGTAATTTGTTGTTCCTGTATATCTCCCTACCCTCCACTACGTGGATGCTTTTGAGGTTTTCCTGTTTTTATCAGATACACTATACTGGTTTTCTTTTTTTTCAATCTTCTTTAGGTTTATATTGCTTCTTCAGTCTGTGGCTTGGGGTCCTTCATTGGTGTTAGAAAATTCTCACCCATATGCCATTTTCTCTTCTGCCCTGTTCTCATTTCTTCTCCTCCTCAGATTCCTATTATATATTTTTTAGATCTTCTACTCCATTACATTTTTTTAATGTTCTTTCCTGTTTTTAATTGTCTGTGCCTTTTGTTCTGTGCCTAATAGTGTTTTCTTTTGACCTTTCTTCCAATTCACTAATTTTGTTTCTTTGTTTAATCTACTGTCAAGCCCACCCTTGAATCTGTTTAATTATTGTTTTTTTTCATTTCTGTTATTCGTTTGGTTCTTTGTTACAGTTTTCATTTCTCAGAATTCTCCATGAACTGTTATTTATTTCAGTTGTTTTAAAATTGGTTTCTGATTATTATTTTATTTGGGTCTCCTGTGGTCTTTTCTAATGTCAGTTCTTCCCCCTTGTTTTCTGGTCATTTGTTGTTTCCTTGAATGTCTGCTTATTTTTTACTAAGTGCCAGAAACCAAATGTGAAAAATATTGCAGATAGTTTGAGGTTTTGAATGATTGTTCTAGAAACCTAAAACATCTATATATGATTTTTTAAGTTCTGTTGTAAGAATAAATAGAAATAGGAGAAGAGGGAACTGGTAAGAGTCAATTAATAGGATTATCCTGGCTTCCTGATAGAGCAGGAATTTAGAGAAACTGGGAGAAAATGAAGATCTCAAAGAGTATGGAGTGAGACACCTACAAGAGTTGGAGGTTGGCATCAAAGTGGGGATGTTAGACCTTGAGATTAAAATAAAAATAAAGGGAACAAAATTCTATGGAATATAATCGGTGTGTTACTAGAGTTTAGAATTAGTCACATAGTGAAAAGTCAAGGGAGTCTTAATGGGAAGGTGTAGATGTAGGTGTAGGCGTAGGTTAAGTTTTGAAGGAAATAAATTGAGTAAATAGTGAAGAGCAGGAAGAGAATTTCAGGCTACACTGTAATTTTCAACTGCTTTTCTTCTTCACATTTCCTTGGAAATTACTTTAGCCTAATTGTTCTAAAAATGTTTGGCATAGTGTTAGGGGGTAGAGGTGAGGACCAGAAGCCATCATACTTTTTCCACAGGTTCCATACACTCTGGGTGGGTTCATATGACTAGTAAATAGCCAGAACTATAGCTTTAGTCTCAAAACTCTTAATGTCCTATGCGCCTTAATTCTTTGGGGATGTTAATACCTGCCCAACCTATCTCACATAGTTTTTTTGTGAGCATTTCAAAAATAAAATTACTATACAAATGTAACGTGGTTAATAATCACATGGCTGGTGAAAAATTGTGGTTTGTAATTACACTGAAGGAAAATTTTTCAAGAACTTACTACGTATGCATTTCATTTATTCATATAACTTAATTGTGCTAAGTAAAATTTGTGACAGATTTATGTGTGAATTAGAGCATGTCAACATCAGAAGTTAATGTTACATTTTTCTGCTTGAGGGCAAAAATATTATACATACATTCTCATTATCTTTGAGAGAATGAATTTTCTTTTGAAATAGAAATCAAATACTACAAAAGCAAATGAATTGTCACTTGATATAAATTCGAACTCTTAGTTTCTATTTAGATTCTGCAATAAAATTAAAACTGTAGATTATTGGATAGTATATGTCACTTGATCTATTAAATAAATAGAACAGTCCCAGTGCTAAAGGGATGTTATAATTCATAAGCAAAGCAGTATGTTAAAACCTTATTTTAAACTGAAGTATAAAATTGTTTCTCTGTCTCTAGGCAAAATTTGGTTTCTCTAATATTACTGGAATTGATTACTCTCCTTCTGCAATACAGCTTTCTGGAAGTATTATAGAGAAAGAGGGTTTATCTAACATTAAGTTGAAGGTAACTATTATATTACTATTAATTTTTTTATAATAAAAGTTATAAAGTTTAAGCATTTCTAAAGTATATTTGCTAACAATATCTTTTGAACTTATAAATTAAGGATTAATTATAATCCAAATTGAAACATTTTTAAGTAACTTAAAATTTTCAGTCTAGTCAACATGGGGAAGCTATTTTCTCCTCTTCTTTGTGTGCAAATGTGTTCATTCTCTCATGTTTGCGAACACTCACAAATACTAGCTAATGACTTTGGATTAACTAGGTCAAAAAGTTGTAAATACGTAAAGTGATGTAGTGCCACCAAAGATTACTTAGTTTACATTTGTGTCCTATGATCCATAAGGAGATGATGACTCTTGGATTTAATATCTAGCCCAGACTTGTCTGAGCTCTAGAATGATTTAAAAACTGCATATTTTACAGTTCTGCCTGGATAACGATAGTCTCTCATTTAGTCTGAAAGGAAACTCTTAGTTTCTCTATAAACCTGCTTTACCATAGTCTTTCCCATTCACCTGTTGTACTAACCTAAAACCCAAGGAGTCATCCTTGATTCTTCTCTTTTCTTTAAGTCCTATGCCTCATTCTGTTGGTTTTATCTTCAGAGTGTATCAGGCGTGTGATCATTCCTTGCTGTTTCCAATGTGCCCTCCTAAGTCCAAGCTGCCATCATTTCTTGCCTCCCATGGCTGCAGTGGCCTTACTTGGCCTCTCCATTTCTCCTCTTGCCACCCACTGTTTGTTACCACAGGGCAAGCAGAGTGATCACTGCCTTGCTCACAAGCCTCCAAGGGCTTCCCCGTTGCATTGAGAATGGAATCTGAATGCCGACCCCACCTTAGAAAGCCCCTCATTTCTCAACTGTTTTCCTCTTTATTACCAGTATTCCAGTCACACTGGGTTGCTTTCTGCTCTGGAAACATGTCTAGCCTGTCCTTTTCCAGTTTTTATATCTGCTGCTCTCTGTCTTGAATATTCTTGCCCCAGATCTGAGCTTGTTTGGATCAGTCTTGTCAGTCAGATCTGTGGTCAAATATCACCTCCTAGACCTTTCCTGACTACCTTTTCCAAAATATTTCTCTTCCCAGTCACTCACTGTCTTTATTATTCTGTTTTTATTGTCTTCATAGCACTTCATCTAAAATTATTTGTTTAACTTATTTATTTGTTGTCTCTCCCTTTAGAAAATATAAGATATATTCTCATACAGGGACACTTTCTTTTTTGTTTACTCTTATATTCTCAGTGACTGAAAAGTCCCTCCATATAATAGATGTTCATGACATACTTGTTGAATAAGTGAGTACTTTGATACAGGCGTTTCAGATAGGAACTTCTCTAAACTTAGCTCTTAAGAATGGTAGTCATCTTTTGTTTCAGGTATAATGAATACTTCGGTGTGAGGGAAGAGGGAAAAAACCCATGTTCTCTCCACCAATCTTAGTTTTAATGATTTTGAAGTGAAGCCCGTGAAAGTTAGCTATAAAGTTGAAAATATGTTTATTATATGTAAAATGCCATCATAATTAAGTGGTCTTTTTATGTATCATCTTTTACAGATTGTCACTTAAATTCAGGAGAGATTGTGTGTTAATTGTTCTCATAAAAACATTGATTTTTAATATAGGTAGAAGACTTTTTGAATCTTTCCACAAAGCTGTCTGGATTTCATATTTGTATTGACAAAGGGACTTTTGATGCCATAAGCCTTAATCCTGACAATGCGATTGAGAAGAGGAAGCAGTATGTGAAGTCCCTCTCTGGGGCGTTGAACGTGAAAGGCTTTTTTCTAATAACCTCGTGTAATTGGACCAAGGAAGAGTTGCTAGATGAATTCAGTGAAGGTAAATGGCTGTATGTTGTTAATGTGTGCTTACCTCAGGTTTCATATACTTAAATGGGTTTTTTTTGTCCCGTGGCGTTAGTGTTTTACTGTTCCGTTTGTGGGAATTGCCTGTTTTTCTTCTCTTTTAACTATATATGCAAAGGACAAAGAAATAATAGCCAGAGATCCAGAGTCCTTTCTAAAATTTTCCAAGAAATCCTGGCAGTTAGGTACTAACATTTATGAGCCTATAAAAGTTAAGTTCTTCATTTAAGCTATGTAATCTCTTATTTAGAGACTCAAACAGAAAGCACGTATATTGTGCTTCTGACTTTAGTGTACTGATATACTGGTGATCAGTAATGATAGTATTCGGTAATATGCAAATGGAAGTAGTATTTTAAAAAATCTTACGTGAGAGTTTTAATTCTATAGATGTTTTCTGGGTCTTGAAAATGGTCATTTAGGTATTTAGGATTTACCTTCTTTTTAGTGTATATAGAACAATTATTCCTAACATTGCACAGAAACAAAAAGTAGGGACTTTGTAGTAGAAATAGTCCCTATTAATTCTTGAGGAAATATCTACCTTTTTTCAAGGTTTTGGTGCCAAGACAGGATCCTTTCTGGCCCCATTAGGAAAGTATAATTAGTGCTGTATCTACTACATGGGGATCTTGTGAGAATTGAGAATCTGTAATCTATACACAAATATTTTGAGTTCTTTGGCAGACTGTTCCTTGCATGTTTTAAGGAATATTTTACCTGCCAATTTGTTCATGCAGTGCACAGGCATTTCTGGGAAAGTACCTTGAGAATCCAGGACTAGTATTTGCTTGTTTTTTTCACAGACTCTTTTTTAGATTAGCATGAAGTTTTTTTTTAAAGAAATGGGAGGAATTTTTAGGATGGAGTATTGATAAATGATATGGTCTAAATTTTTGTTAAATTTTGAACTTCAGTTGCCACAAGCTGATGGGAAATGAATTTATAACTATATTGCATGCACTTTATCTTTGTTTTCTTTTTGGTAATAAGGGAATAGGCAGTAGGAGGGAGAACACTTAACACATGTCCTTTTGTGTGCATTCAGTGACTTTTCGGCAGGTTATATAATGTAAAACTCGAAGTATTTGAGGCTTGGAATGTGAGCTTGTGGTTTCATTACTATTGCCTCTGGAAAACAAGAATTACATGTGATTTATTGTCTTGTATTTCATGCCATTAATTTTACTATCTTCCATGTTAAATTTGTTTCCTTTAGAACTGTTGAGGCCCTGTATCCATAGTCTTTCCTTCTTCCTGAAGCTTGACAGTTTTAATAAATGCTCGAAGTTAACACTGTGTAGGGCAAGTTTCTTTCCCGGTTTTTAAATACAGGTGTTCTCTTTTACCCTTGGAACAACCAGACAAAAACATATTTGTCTGTCTTTGATAATGAGGAACAGACTTTAGCCTGGTAAAGAGTGCTTAAAATTGTGTCTGTGTCTGAGAACTACTTTAAGTTATGTTCAGTTTTAGAGTTTAATACAGAATTTAAGCAAAATGTTACAACAGGAAATGTTAAATACATACAATTGAAGACATTCTTTAGGCATGTGTCTCTGAGAATATGGTGTTTGGGGTTGGATATAAAACACTAACAGAATACTTGCATCACTGCCCGGGGGCTTGTCAGTGGCTTCTCACGATTGGCTTCCATGGTCCCTTTGGTGTAGGGTGAAGCTTGCTTCACTGGTCTTTTAAGGTTCTTTGCTGCTTTCCTTATTGAAACATAAAACTGTTGAAATAAATCTTGCATTTTTCCTTTATAGCCCTATTTATATAAACATTTTGTGTTGTCATTTGCCAGATTACTTGAATCATTTGCCAGATAGTGGGATGTTCTAATTTGATGTCCAAGGAATTGGACTTTCTTAAAACTACTGAATTAAAAACAACTCCAGAAAACGTATTTTACTGCGGAAATAATCCAGATTCGTTATGAAAAAGATTGAAAAATGTCAATAACCCCAACAAAGATAATTTATTACTTATCACTGGAATACAACCACTTTTAAAATTTTGGTGTATTATTTATTAAAATATAAGCACTTAATTCTGTAGGGTTGGTCCAAGGAGTTAAAAGATTAGTCCTGGAAAATTCACACAGACAGTTCCATTTTCTCTTGAACATTTTTATTAAGTACTTTAAGCATGTGTAAAAATTTCAGAAAACAGGTAGGGTTTGTACCCATGTACCCACAGTGGCTCCATTTTCCAGCATTAAGATATATCCTGTTATTTAAAATCCCTCTTTGGAAAAGTTTTCTTACGATCAGTTTTAATGAGCATTTTAATTTATAGCTATTTGCTAAGATTTGGTGAAGTTTGATTAAGAATATGAAGTAGAATGCACAATGAAACAGTATAAAAGACCAGTTGATACAGTAATATATATTCTTTTATATTTTTTCTTTTTATAAGAGTTATTTCAGCTGAAGCCCAAGGCATAGAAGCATAGAGAATGCAGACACCCCCACCTCCCAGGGAAAAAAATCTGCCCTTCAAACTAATAGTCCCATCACTGAGGGAAACCATGGTTAACTTCCCAGCCTTGCTTGTCTTAGTTTTTAAAAACAAAATAATAAAATGTTAACTTTCCATTTTATTTTATAGTTCAGGAAAATGCCGTGTTATCTTATTTTGATCTTTACAAAATCACTGCGAGGTAGGTAGGGGCGTTGGTAGGTGTAACCTCCTTGCATAGAACCTGAGGGTCCTGGCAGCATATCTTTCACCTAGTAAGTGGTAGAGCTGGAACTTGAACCCAGGACTCTTGAATCCACATTAATTTTTAAATCACGCTGTGCTGCTTTGAAAGTTACTACTTCCTTTTCTTCCCAGATCCTTCGTTAGTTCAGTCTGGGTCTTGATCTTTGGTTACAAACTCTTTTTTGTTGTGGTAAAATATATATAAGGTAAGATTTACCATTTAACCATTTTATTTATTTTTATTTTTATTTTTTTAAAGATTTTATTTATTTATTTGACAGAGAGAGGCAGTGAGAGAGGGAACACAAGCAGTGGGAGTGGGAGAGGGAGAAGCAGGCTTCCCGCGGAGCAGGGAGCCCGATGCGGGGCTCGATCCCAGGACCCCGGGACCATGACCTGAGCCGAAGGCAGACGCTTAACGACTGAGCCACCCAGGCGCCCCCCATTTAACCATTTTAAAACGTACAGTTCTGTGACATTTAGTACGTTTCCATTGTTGTTCAGCTGCGGCCACCATCCATCTCCAGGACTTTTTCATCTACAAATTCATTTTTATTTCCACATTGTCTGACTCTTCTGTATTAAGTACTTTTATACGTGGTGTGGATCGAGTTACTACATATAAGGCCCTCAGAACAGTGCCTGGTTCCTGGTAAGACCTCAGCGCATGATAGCTGCTACCTGCAAGCGAGGTGGTGCAGCAGGCTGAGGGGTGTAAGGGATCGTAGACAGAAAGTGGGGGAAGGAGGGATGGAAGGAAAGCCTCTTTTCTGCAATTTGATTTTGGGCTTGTCTGTTCCGTGTTCAATTTAAAGTGTTAGTGGGTATGCACACTCTGTGCACATACAATAGATCTGAAAAATTATCAAGTGAAATTCAGTCACAGCTTAATAAAGTTTTATAAAAGGTTTGCAAGTACATTGTTCGTACAGATTTCCCTTAACTGTGGGATTCAGTCCCTATTAAAAGTATTTTAATCTTGTCTAACAGGATTTGAACTTTTCGAAGAGCTGCCAACACCCACGTTCAGCTTTGGAGGCAGATCTGGAAACAGTGTAACAGCATTGGTTTTCCAGAAAACGTGAGACTTTTCACTGGACAAATTCAGTTAGCTTTGTTAAGAAGCTCCACATCAAAGTTAACCTGACACAGAAATGCAAGTGCAAATAAATGCTTAGTAAGTACACAGGATGCACATGTTGAATAGATGTAATGGGTTGGTAAGAATATGAACATGTGAGTGGTTGAGTTTTAGAGACCAACCAAGAATCATTTTAAAGTTTTCTTTTGTATTTGAAATGTAAATATTTTTCTCTTCGATTAAAAAAAATTTCCTGTAACTGCTAAACAGTCAAAAACTTTAAAGCAGTAATTGAATTTATAGAAAGCATGTATTCTTGGTTTTTGTACTTTGGTAAAGTTGAATGGAATATAGCTGCTCGTTAAGATTTGACGAAACTACTCCAGGGCCAGAATAATAAACACCAACTTTCTTAGTGTTTTATTAGACTGTCTATAAACATAATAAGTATAATATTTTGGGTTGAATGGTGGTTCTTTAAAAAAAAAAAAAAATTAATACCTGAGGAAAATCCCCTAGTTTTCATGTGTATAATCAAACAAAATCAGAAAAAACAAAAAAACAAAAAAACAAAAAAACCCCACAAAATCAGATAAATGTATGAGTTGATCAAGAAATATTTATTGAGCTTGTATTTTGCTGCTGATGGCCTTTACACACTGTGAAGGATAAACAGGAAGTAGGAAAGACAACTAAGAGATCCTGTTATCTGCTAGCACTGTGTTAAGTTACATTATGATAATTAAGTCACTGAATTCTTCAAATATCTTCTCAAGGTATGTATTAACTTATTCCTGTTTCTACATATCAAAGGGCTAGTATTGGGGCACCTGACTGGCTCAGTTGGTAGAGCATGTGACTTGATCTCGGGGTTGTGAGTTCGAGCCCCACATTGGATAGAGAGATTACTTAAAAATAAGATCTTTATGTATTTATTTTAAAGGTTTTATTTATTTGTCAGAGAGAGAGCGCACAAGCAGGGGGAGCGGCAGGTAGAGCTAAACAGGGAGCCTGATTCGGGACTCAGTCCCAGGACCCCAGGATCATGACCTGAGCCGAAGGCAGACGTTTAACCAACTAAGCCACCCGGGCATCCCGAAATAAAATCTTAAAAAAAAAAAAAAAAAAAAAAGGCTAGTATAAGATGGAGCCAGGATTCTTTGGGTCTGATTAAAACCCGTTCTCTTCCCCTAGAATATTCTGCTTCCCAAGGTGCTAAGTCTCTGCCTTATTGGTACTTAAAGTTCAGTAGGGGAACCAGGACTGGTCCAGAGAAGTTTAATAGTTGGATTTTCAAGAGCTCTGCGGCTTCTTGTTAGTGACAGTGTTGGTCTGTGGACTGTGAGTTAGTAAGTCTTCCTTCACCATTTTTCTCCATCTCTCTTTTGTCCTAATCGAGAACTGAATAGTGTCATTCTTTTGTGAAAGGGTGCTGTAGGCTATATGTATATATAAGCCTTCAGAGACATGGGGACAAAGATGTTTTAGTTAGGGCTGATTCAGAAGAGAAACAGTTTGTTTATTAACGTTTTTGAAGAGATATGTTAATATATGCCATTTTTCTATTTGGGCTAATATTTTCATATTGGAGCCACGATACAATTTTTTATGATTTTCAGCTTTTTGGGTCTGTTGAATTTTTGTTTGATAAATGTTAACCTAGTAATGAGTAAGTCTAGCATTACAATCCTTTTTCTTTTGTGTGTGTGTCTGAGTGGGGGCAGGGGGTGGAGGGAGAAGAGGGGTTTGATTTAAACCAACATTAATCAACTATTAAGATTACTACCTGCCTTGCACAAGATGACTGAAGACATTTACATTAGCTTTCAACACAAATAACATTGTTTGAAAAGCTTTCATTTTTAACATGTAAAGAGTGAGAAGTTACTTCAAAATATATGTGATTTAAGCTTAAGAAAAATTGTGTTGATTTTACAAACTAGGCGAAGGATCTTAAACCACAGAAAAATAGTTTATAATTTATTGAGGCGATCTGGTCTTTGTTGTTTTTTCATGTTACTGTTCCTTGATATCAAATATGATAGTAGTGTGGAAGTACTTTTTTTTAGAATTTTGAGTTGTTACGTATGCTATTTTAAAGCACCACTCTAACAGAATGGGCTTTCTGTGCCACCAGACTGACGCATTGGGTTTGATTCACTGATAGCTTGGAGCGGGCCTTTGTTGAAAAGCTCTGCAAGTCACCCTCGTGGCAGAGTATGTATGTTCCATTTGCAAAGATGGAGGATTTGGGGGAATCGTGGAGCTGTTGCTCAGGTCAGGAGAAGGGATTTGTCATCTCTCCTTATCAGTTAATCCTGCTGGAAGCCGGCCTCTCAGAGGTTGAAATTAGAACAAATGGAAGGTCCGAAAATCAAACAGTAAATTAGTATTTTCAAATAATACCACACTTTAAAAAACCAGGCTAGGAAATGGCCCCAAATTACTGAAGCAAATCGTAAATATGTGACTATTAAACTGAGTTTTGTTAAAGCACATGACTGTGTGGGTGACTGGAAGGAATTATACGGTTATAAAAGGGAGCAGTGAGTTATGTAGTGAGCGCTGGTTTCTCTGCATAAGAAGTTGGAATTGTAATTTTATTTCATCAAAAGACACTCTTATTTTGAGGAAACTTGTTTGAAATGCAAACGAAGTTTCTCTCCAGAGCCTGCACGCCATTGTTGCTTCTCATTACGATGTTATGAGCCGGCACTTCGCTTCTGTGTGGAGGAAGCGCACAGGCCAGTCCGAAGGGATTTGAGGCTGAATGGGTGGGTTACACCAATTAACAAATAGAAAGTTTTCAGAACATTTCGTCTTAAGCCAGGTGCACAAGTCAGAGTTGCTTTTTGGGGCTGGCATTTATGCATATGAGAATCAAACCTGACACTACTCTTGGCAGCTTGACTGAAGCCATTTTAAAATAAGTACAAACTGTCCTAGAATTGATTTTCCCCCATTGTAGTAGCAGCAAGTTGGCCTTTCTTCTTCGTCTGTGACACGCATGCAGTTTTCTGTTATTTGGGGGGGAAGAAGGGAGGTAAACATACACAAAAGACTTCTAGTTTTTGAGTGAATAATGTGTTTCAGTTCACTTACTATTTTTAGTTTTCTGTGGCTCTGTAATATAGTACTGTATGTTGGCCTTAATTCACGTTCACCCGGAATATAGTAGAAAGCTTCATTTTTAAGGAGCCTGTGTTAGCCTCCAACCGTTGAAATATTTTTCCCTAAATTGATATGCAAAGAAATAGAGTATCCCTGCTTATGTCAATCGACTCTGATTTATGTTTTCTTAAATAATTTTATTTTATGTATTTATGCATGCATGTATGTGTCTGTCTGCTAGTCCATAATGAAAATATATACAAATGTGAAAACTCAGTTGCTCTCCAGGCTAGCATTCTGCTGCTGTGGGGAGGCCTGGGTTTGATTTCCTGTTGTTGGCACTGTGAACTAGAGTGTACGTGCTCCAGAGACAGCTTTCTGCTTTGAAAGCAAGAGACCAAGTGTCTTGTGTTCCACAGTAGTAACCTCTTTAGCTAATTGTGTGTGTGGGGGGGTGTGTTGATGGGCTCTGAAAGGAGTCTTGTCTAGTACACTCCACTGGAAGGAGGCTGCCCATGACCTAGAGCTTGATTGTGGGAGACCAGGAGCATGGTAGGTTGAAGGACAATTGCTTAGTGGGAAAAAATTAGGAAACCCTTGTCATTTCTCTGTTAGGCAGGAAACAGAGATGTCCTTAGACGAAGGGGGAGCACATGAGCATGTTTTATTAACAGTTAATGGAAGAAAATTAATGCTAATTTATTCTTCATACACACCATGCAATTTGTTAGAAAAGTAAAAGAATAGTTTGAAATTCTTTGGTCAATTGATGGATTCCTATGTTAGGGGCATAGAAATGAAACTCAACATTAAGCAGACAAATACCCAAGCCCACAGGCTACATAAATGCTGAATAAAACCAGCTCTACAATGGAACTCTGAAAAGCGAGGGGTAAGAAGCCTAATGAATGATTGAATATGACCTTCGCAAAATCCCTGGAGTGTTGTTGAAAGATCATTCATTTCCAGCTTAGATGTCAAGATGGGCTCCAGTAACCAGGAAAAAAGAGAGCTTGAGTCGGTACTTACTGAGTTTTAAAAATCTTTACAACTCAGTGCATTAGACTAATCATTAAAAGGGCTTCTCTAACTGAATTTTGAGCTGTCACTGTGTAGACCTGTAGTTTAGGCCCAGGGAAACCAAATTAAAAAGATAGGAATAATTCGCAAGACATGAATGTATCAATATCCTGCTTTTATGGAGTAGAACTTCAAAAACTGGATGTAGAGGCTGGCCGAATGTACTTTTGTCATGCTGATACCATTGTAAGAAAGACTTACAACCAAGAGATCAATTGTGCCTTAGAGTATTTGCAAATTACTTGCCCAGTTTATTAGAGGAAGATAGGGAAAAAACCAAAATGTACTTTTTTCATTTTTAAGTGGCCCATTCTGAAGAAGTGATAAATTCTTTTATGTTATATTTTAAAATATGTATTGTTATTACTGCATCGGAAAATAAGTATGTTTGTGGGTGATCTTTATTGTACATGCTATCCAGAAGCTTTGTAAGAAAAGCCAATCTAACACATTTGTTTTCCCAAATACCTAAAATTTTACACATGAACCAGGATTAGCATATCCTGGATGTTATATGAGGAGCTGAAAAAGAAATATGAAAACACTCCTGTTGAATAAGGGGACCATGAACTGTATTTCTCATTTTTCATCAACATACTTACAGATGTGAAGCTGTTTATTATTCTCTGTGACTCTAGCAGAATAGAAGTGCTGTTGGGATGGTCGCAGCTCTCCTGCTCAGGCGGTCCAAGCTGCTTGTCAAAGATGGGCGGAGTCAGGGGGAGGGAGCTAAATGGAGCAGAGAGTGGGTGCTGCCGGCGCACGTTTTCTCCTCACCCCTCCTCTAGTATGAAAATGTCAGTCCTTTGTTCCCATCTAATTTTAGTACATCCTGGCTAAAAAAAAAAAAAAAAAAAAAAAAAAAAGTTAGGATGCTTTCCAACCTTGGAACTTGGAGGGGTGGGGTGGGCGGGGAAAGAGGAGAGGAAGGAGCAGTTTACATTCTGTATCCGTCTGCCTTTCTGCGACAGCATCTAGCCCCTATTCTGTTGATTCTGGTAATGAAATAAATTTAGATGCACTGAAGCAGCAATAATTAAGTTTTCCTTCCATGTCCTCAACAAGAAGCCTAGTTGGAGTCTGAATGGGGAAAATCATAATGTGGCATTTAATAAAACATACTGGGCTAAATTAAAGAGCTGTGTGCAAGTTTTGGAAGACAGGCCTGAAATTGTGAATGAAAAACTGCATGTTGTCTTACTTATAAATATAACCTTTTGAGGCCCATTTGTGATTCAGCAAAACTGCTTTTATGCTGTTGTTTTGAATGAGAATAATATTTGTTGATTTTTGAGAAGCCATCATAAGCAAGGCACACAAGTCAGAGGTGTTTATTCCTTGTGGAAACCTTCACAAGTGTAGAGGGAAAGCTCAGATTTCGTGAAGAGAACCAGTTGGGTCAAAGAATTGATAATATAGTTTGTTCAAGAGATAGGACTGAATTCCATATGGTTTTGTAGTTGGAAGTGCCGATTGTTATGGTTATTATTTAATTAAAAAGTAATTAACCAGGAGCGCCTGGGTGGGAAGCCTGCTTCTCCCTCTCCCACTCCCCCTGCTTGTGTTCCCTCTCTCACGGTCTGTCAAATAAATAAAATCTAAAAAAAAAAAAAATTAACCAGATTAAGCTATGAGGGGAAATCCACATACTGAACCCCACTGTGAAATAAGCTGGTCTTTTCCAGAGGTTTGTTGCTTTAGTGCTCTGAGTTTTCCTCTTGGAATCTCTGTATGGTAAAGATGTTAGGTAGCCAGAAGTAAGAGGGATCATTTTGTTATTAAGTCCATTTGATTAGTGATTTAATTTGTGACACATGCAGTATCACATTATTTTCTGAACTTGAAATTTATTTTCGTTCCTTTCATTTTATAGTAACCTAGTGTTGAAAATCTGTTAAGTAATACAGTAAATATCAAAGAGAAATGATTTTTTGGGGGGATTTGGTAGGAAAAAATGATGGGAATATAGGCAGGTCGCTTTCCTTTTCTGGGCTTCAGTTTTCCTCTCTGTAAAATTAGGGCATTCAGTAGGTGATATTTAGTTTTTCTCTACCCCTGTACTAGTCAGCTTGGGCTACCATTGACTGTGTGGCTTAAACAACAGAAATTTACTTTTCATAGTCCGGAGACTGGGAAGTCCAAGGTCAAGGTGCAAACAAGGCAGGCTTCATTCTGAGGTCTCTACTCTTGGCTTGCAGGTGGCTGCCATTCCCCTGTATGTTCACATGGCCTCCTTGTGCATGCTTACAAGGGAGAGAGTGTGGGAGCAGGCTTTCCTGTGTCTCTTCTTAGAAGGGCGATAATTCCATCAGGAGAGCCCCACCCACATGACTTCATCTAACTACGATTACCGCCTAGAGGCCCCACTTGCAAATACCATCACACTGGGGCTTAGGGCTTCAACATGTGAATTTGGGGGCAGGAAACAAACATTCAATCCATAATACCTGCTGAAATTGATCCAAGATTTAGAGAAGGGCTTATGATTTAGGTTAGAAATACAGGTTTCCACGATATATGAAAAGTTTAAATGCTCCCATTAGCTAAATATCAGTTGTTAGGTCACTTTACCGTTCTGTTAAGTCACGGTGTCTATGTATATGAGAAATAGATGTACATATAATAAAACATTTGGAGCAAAAATCATGTATTTTTCCATCTAAGACATCTTTGCACATTCATTGGTAAACTTTAGATTTTGGTATCGTTTGTCTCTCATATATATTTTTGATAATTTAGTTTGTATTTGTTTGACCATGTTTTATCCAAGAAACTCAGAAATTTACATCTGATTGTTTAGTCTCCTTCAATTTTACATACAGAAAGAGATCAAGATTGGGGTCTAAGCAAACACAAAGGAATCATACTCACAGATGATCTAATTTAGAACCATAAAGTCCCAGGGCTCTGAGACCTTCTCATGCTACACAGAGACCCATGCTTGAGTAGATAGTATATGGGTCTGCCCTTCTCAGGCCTTGTAACCTCTCTGGGTTACTGTCTTTCTGTCCTCTACCTCAGGGATGCTGAAGTATGTTAAAGGTGCTGGGAAAGTGCCTAATGGATAGTAATACTTACTTAAACGTGGTTTCCCTTCGGAGCCTTTCTTCAGAGCAGTTCCAGTGTAGTGGAGAGAGAAGCAGTTGTGGAGACCTTCTGTAACAGGGTCAGGAATGTTAGAAGAATTAGTGTGAAGCAGCTTAGCATGATTCCTAGCACACACCAGTCACTAGTCTTTTCTCCAAGAACTCCTTCTCCCCATTGTAGCTAATGTATTGACTTGTTGGAAATTGTATCCTTCAGTGCCACTGAGTTAATATATTCAGTTCGACTGTATTCTAAGAGTGTTTAGATGAGGGAAGAGAGGAGGAGTGGTAGATAAGTGAGTAAGAGTGAACATTTGCAACAGGTGGGCCTTCCAGAACCTCTTAAAAAATCCTACTGTGTAGCTCCTCCTTGAGTCTATAGATAGGGCTGGTGCTGAAGCACCTTTTTATTTAGCTAAGAAATGAGGATCAGATAGAATGCCAGATTTTCACTGAATGTTCTTTATGATGTGTTTCAGCAGACTCCTTAAGAATACTCAGATTTAAGATCATTGCTTAAGTGATAATTATTTAGTAATAAATGTAGGTACAGTGGGGAAAATGTTCATGTGGATGCATTGGAATTGGTCAAGGACTTGGTGCACCTTTCTTCATTAGGTCTGCATACTAAGGCATTATTTCCAGTGACATGAAACAAGGGAACTATGAGCAGGTCCCTTAACTAACCATGCATTAGGTTTAATGAAAACCGAGTTGGATTTGGGTTTTCCTGGGCATTTAGGAACCAGTGGGCTAAGATTTTATCATTGATTTCTACCTTTGCATCATCTAGATTTGATTTCTTTGATCAGTGAATCATATTTATTTTCCTTGTTTTAAGTTGAGTTAATGGTGCCATTCACAGTGACATTTCAAAGTTTGATGTTGGATAATACTTTAGTTTATCTGATATGACCTTAGTTTATACTGGAACTGACAGTATCGTATATAATTTACAGTGAAACAGTTGTTTATCCTAGTCTAGAAAACATTTGATTTTCAAATTTGTTTGTTTATTTAACCTTTTTATTGGCGGTTAAGTGACTATCTCAGTGCCTGGGCTGCTTAGTGTGACTGGGGAAATGCTGGCCAGAGCAGTGTCACTTTCTCTGTTCAGCCTCAAAGAGCTTAAGTCTTTGAACTATTTTTAAAAAGTTCTATAGATGGGGTGCCTTGGTGGCTCCGTTGTTGAGCGGCTGCCTTCAGCTCAGGTCATGATCCCAGGGTCCTGGGATCGAGCCCCGCATCGGGCTCCCTTCTCGGCGGGAAGCCTGCTTCTCCCTCTCCCACTCCCCCTGCTTGTGTTCCCTCTCTGGCTGTGTCTCTGTCAAATAAATAAATAAATAATCTTAAAAAAAAAAAAAAAGTTCTATAGGGATGAGGTCAATATGATGATAATGTATGTCCGTAGGATAGTTTACTAAAGTTAGGTAGTTTAATAGTACTATGGTTAAGTAACCTGGTTTTGATCAAGATTTTTGTTTGTTTGTTTTGTTTCTTTGTGAAAGTTAAGAGAAGCTGTAAAGTAGTATTTAAAATAGTAAGCTAACTTCTCATATCAGTTCTTCTCTGTTTTAGATCAGGTGCAGGGTATGTGCATACAAAATAGGCAAGGCTAGTCCCTCAGAAACAGTAATGGGTACAATAAAACAAAACGTCTTTGCTTTTGGTTAAAATAGAAGATTGACAAACTGCTGAGTGGAGTTAAGAAGTTCACAGACTAACATGCCATGTAGGGCACATGTTCTTTTCATACTGCTCCCAGGGATGTTCTACCCCTTGGAGCCGGAGACTGATTTTTTTTCTTGATATTTTAAATCCAAAGGATTCAGTCTTTAGATTGGGTATTCAAACTCTGTGAAATCACAAACTGTATGTAGTTTCACAGTTTCCTTTCTACCTAATGAAAATGAAATTCAGTCTGTTTAATTTTTATGGGGATAGGCAGGATGGCAGTAGCTTTGAGCATATCACTAGGGATGAGTTAAAAATAGATTTTTCTTGAGGCAGTGACTTATATGGTAGATAGTTGACAGGAGAGAAAAATTAAGTTAAATTTTGGGCTTGTATCGTAAATACTAAATCTGAATTCCACTTAAGGGTATATAAGAAAAAAATTGAAATGGTTTTCATTTGAAGATGATAGCATAAACATTTAGTGTGGGTGTGCTGTTGAAATATTTTCTAGATAAAACTTAATGTGTAACAATATGAAAATATTGTAACTTGTTTTTAGTTACGTATTTGGTGGAGTAACTGAGGCCAGGCTAGGTTATAGGTGACTAACCATGTTAATAGTGACATTAGAGTACTTCAGCTCAGATCATAAATAGATCGGGGAAAGGTCAAGAATGAATTATGCTTTTCAGTGTTACTAATAAAATAGTAAAATAGGTTTGGTAAGTTTTACATACACCAGTAACTTTGACTGTAGATTGTGAAAAGCCTTCATTATACTTACTTTTGCTTATTTACCATGCATAAACTTTTCAATGTCAGTTTTTTTCATGTTTGTGTTTTCTGGTAGCACATAACACCGATAGCTACTATTAACTTGCCAAAAAAGGAAAAAAAATAGCAAATTGAAATAAGTTTTAACTGTTGCTCTGTTCTTTTTAGCTTACATTACCCAGTGTTCTTCCATCCAGTGAGTTGCAAGCGTGACATTTGCTGTGTTTTCAGCACCTGCCAACTTGGAAACCAGGGTTTGTACTCAGGACTTAGGCTTACAACCCACACTTTGTGGTGCACAATGCTGTCCCAGCTGGCAGGCTTCGTACCTCAATGGTGCTAGACGTTTGGTTACAAAGCTGGGCCGATTCACGTGCACTGATTTCAATAGGCATTCCGCTTCAGGCTGCTTTCAACTCTCATTTTGTATCAAAGGAGTTAGATTGGTATCATTAAATTCACTGCCATGGTTATTTTTCAATGAAAATAAATTTGTTTTCTTTAGTTCTTGAATCAAAAAGTAACTGTCTTCAAGAATCAAAGTACCTCTTAAAAAAGATATGTGCATAGATATGGGAGATACCCCTGTCTGTCTCTCTGTGTAGATATATCTGTCTATATGGAAGAGATTCCAGGCAGAGCTATAATTCATTTTCATCAGTGGAAAGGTTTCAGAACACAATATAAAAAGGACAGAAAGGGAAGAACAGAAGGATTAGTGTGTTACCACAATGCTTATGTAGGTAGGGCTGTTAGTTGTAGCTGGCTCATAGATGTGGGAACAATTATAGAACTTATTTTTCTGAATAAGGTCTATGTAAGAAAATTGTTCCTATAGTAGATTCAGATTTTTGGCTTTCATCTATAACCAAAAACTTTACATATTATTCAAAGAAATGTATTTTGCTAACTTGTTGTCTTTCAGTAGCCAATTTCTTTGAAAATGGTTCAGGTGGACTTGGGTCATGTCTGTCTTCCCATCATCTGTTATAAGCAATTTTAAAAGCTTCTGCTTTATAAAAGATCTTTTCAGTTTTAGAAAGGACAGTGTGAAATGTGAATGACTGGCTTTTAATACAAGATGTGACAAAGAGGCAGTGGCTTTTGGAAGCTGAATAAAGGGGTTACTACACACATCTGCATACTGTGCTGTTGGGTCCAATGTATAACAAGTTTGATGTTTGTTTCACTCACTTTATTCTAAAAAGAATACTATGTTACTCTCAGAGACAAACTAGTTTATCACTTTTTAGTGGTGAACTCTTTACAGCCATAGGCACACATAGGTTTGTTGGGTAAAACTGAACAACATTGACTGGTACTTGCTAAGACTTCAAAGCTTAGCTCCTTGTTGCTTGAATATCACATTAATCTGGTTCTAAAGGCACAAAAATAAAACACCCACTAACTACCTAGGACACTCCTTAGTGCGAATTAAAACCCAACCTTTACCCTCCTCTGCACAAATGTGCTTAGGTGAATACTTGATTAGCTTGTTGATACAAGTTATAGTTGGTTACACCCTTTCTTAATAAAATACACCCTTATTGTCTTCTGTTGCTTAAGAGCTTTACACTTGGAAAAGGGGAACTCTCTAGTATAGAGTGATCCTCAGTTTAAATTCTCCCAGGCAGTTTTGAGTAGACATGATGCGTGCCATGTACACAAGCATTCCTCCATTTGGGGTGTCTGCTTCGAGCGGGGCCAGGAGGGCCTGTATTGCTGTGCTTTATCCCTGGGTTTCACACGCTGGTCTTGCAGTGAGACTGTATGTAATCCCTACATTTTATATTTCCCACTTGTTCATGGTTTACCCAAGTTAGTGTTGTTGATCAATGATAATGGAAAAGTTACAAGTGATCATTTTTGGATTATTTATGGGTTTATTCCTAAACTGGCTTATGAATTTGTGTTTAGGTGCCTGGTTGTACTCTAAATCTGGTTTTGATTTGGCTTTGACCTTTAAGGATTGAACAAAGGTAGACAGCTTAGCCCCCCATCTCCCGATTACAGCTTACATTGTTTTACATCCAGAGTGGGACTGAGTTTATAATTGAACAAAACTCTCATATACAACCTTTCGGGTAGGACTTTTTAAATAATAAATAACTATGTAGCATAGCCCTAAAAAGTGGGGGTGTTTTACCTTTTTTTAAAAAATTTATTTATTTGAGAGAGAGAGAGAGAGCAAGCGAGCATGAGGGGGGGAGGATCAGAAGGAGAAGCAGACTCCCCGCTGAGCAGGGAGCCCGATGTGGGACTCGATCCTGGGAGTAACAGGATCATGACCTGAGCCAAAGGCAGTTGCCCAACCGACTTAGCCACCAGGCGCCCTAAAGTGGGGGTGTTTTAGATCTTACAGAACTTACTTCATAATGTGGGAAGAACCACATAATATGGAAAGTTAAGTGACACAGGCCTTAATGTATATATTTTTTAGCCTCTGGAGACTCAGATTAAGTACATGAGAAATAGCCATTCATTGGTTAGTAGCACAACTCCTTAAGCAGGTATTTTAGTTCTGTGCACTTGCAAGAAAGCCTCAGAACCAGAAAAACAGGCTGCTTTAGGTTGGAAAGGAGGCGTTGCAGCAAAGAGCTTGCCATAACCACAATCCTTGGAATTTTGTGAATCTAAAATCATCCTGAAAGCAACCAGAATCATGGTTGCAATAATTGTCTCCAGGCTCTGGACAAGCCCCCCCCCCCCCCCCCCCTGCATTTTGTTTTCTCCATTGACCCGATGAACTGGTAATTGTAGGAATAAGCTGAATGTTTGCCAGCAGGAGTCACTCTAGGCTTCCTAATAAAAAGTAAATTAAACTATGTTCTTAAAAGCTCTAAAAGGCCGTGGTGACACTTGATAAGATGGCATTAGGGAAGTGTTAGTAGCATTCTCAAATTATCCCTTGTGCCTTTCTTTGTCTAACTTAGGGAGACTTGGTTCTCGTTCCTTTCAAAATTGGCCCTTGGTAAATTCTTCTAAAGCAGTGTTTATGGATAAGGATATCAGTATCTTAGCATTCTGCCTATTAGCTCATTTTGGCTTTTGTAGGATGAATTGGTTATATCCCACATCATCTATTTGAATGAATAGACACACATCCTTCTCCTGATGGTTGTTCATCCTAATCGTGCAGAAGAAATCACTGGAGCTGTAGCTGGTGTGAAAGATGTTAACTCATGGTTTTCTGAAAAAGAACGGGTCCAGTGTGATGGGAAACTGAAATATTGCAGCGATAGCCATGAAATATAAGTTTTCCAAGTGCATACAAGCTCAAGAAGTTAATTGTTCATTTATGTTTGATACTGGGATTGAAACATTGGATTAAAACCAATTAAATGTTCCTAGAAGCAACAGAAAAAGTTTCCTGATTTATGAATAGGACCATTCAAATGGCGCAGACACAATCCATGTAAAGTAATGAGGTGTTTTGTATTTTTGGCAAAGGAGAACACAAAACAGGCATAGGGGAGTTCTTTTAAAAAAAAAAAACCTCTTTAAAAATCTCTTTGGATACAAGGTCAATAAAATAACATACACTAGTAGGACGGAGTAATGGGAAATCTAGGGCTTCGCTTCACAAGGAAAACAGTCCCCCTCCCCCAGGTGAGCAGTACAATGAAAATACTCTGCTTATTCTATCAGGGTTACATTCCTGAACTTAAGTCAACATCCTAAGTTACAGAACGAAACATGCTCTGCGTCTGCTTAGCAACCACAAATCCTTCCTTCACCAGTTGCATATATTTTGCATGTGGCTTCTGAAGTACACATTCCTTTATTTCGATCAGCACCCCTAGTAGGGACACTAGCGTTTTATTTTCCCAAAGTGTGACAACGCTAACACAGCCCCCCCATCCTCTGCTGCCCAGCACGCCACCGAAATGATCGTTTCTTTGAAACCTCAAAACCCAACAACCCGGAAGCTGGACGTCTGAAGTCCACGCGGCCCAGGGTTTTTGCCCCGGTTCCTGCGGGGGGCGGGGGAAGACCCCCGCGGGACCCCTGGCTCCCGGCCCGGGCAGCCGCGGGGGTGGTGGCTGCGGCGGCGCGGCCCGGATCCGGGGCCACTTCCCGCGTCCCGGGGCCTCGCAGGCGCGAGCTCGGCGAGCGGCGCGCGGCTCAGCTCGCAGGACGCCCTCTAGCCCCGCCGGCGGCGCGCCGCGGCCCCCCCACTCTCCGCCCACCGGCGGCTGCGCGCACTGCACACTCGCCCGCCGCCGCCGCCGCCGCCGCCGCCGCCGCCGCCGCCGCCGCCGCCGCCGCACGCCGCCCGGCTCCTGCACGCCGCCGCCGCCGCCGAGCGCCAGGGCCCCGCGACGCCGCCGCCAGAGCGCCCGACCCAACGACACACAGCCGCGGTCGGGCGGCCCCGCGGCGGCGGCGGGCGCGGCGGGCGCGGGCGGCCTGGCCCGGGCCGGTTAAAGGGACGAGTTGCAAACAGTTCAGGAAGTGACAAGTCGATTTCCTCCTCCCTGGGAGCCGCTCGGTACAAAGCGCTCGGCGCCGGCAGGAGAGCGTGCGCGCGGCGGACGCGCGGCGGGCAGCCCGGACGACTTGGCGAGCGCCGGCGGCGACGGCGCGGAGTCCGCGCCCGAAGCGCCCCGCCGCGCACAGTAAGCGACCCCGGGCTGCGAGGCGGCGGTGGCGGCGGCGGCAGCGGCAGGGGGGCCGGTCCCGAGCGGTGGTCCCTGCCTTGTGCGCCGCAGCCGCTGGCTGGAGGGACCCCTCTTCGCGCGTGTGCTGGGCTTGCCGTTTTGGTTTTTATTCTTCTTATTTTTTTTTAAAATATTTTACTGGTTTTCTTTTTTTCTGCCTTGTTTCGCGTTGGGTGGGGTGGTTTTCTGGGGCGCAGAGTGTCGCCCCTGGTGCAGGCGTGAGACTTGTCAGAGCGCAGCCAGGGGAAAGAGCCAGCCCGGCCCCTGCAGAAAAGTCTGTGCCTCCCCGGGGCGGGTGCAGGGACTGCTGCGCCGGGGGGTGTGCTCCTCTCCGCGTCTCAACTTGAGTCCTGGCTCGCGGCAGCGGCGAAGGCGCCAGGACCCGGGGACCCGGGCGCCCCGGCTCGCCCCGAAGTTCCTGCACCGTTTGCAGACAACTCTTTTGTTCGCGGAAGTTTGCGTCCGGGATGCGGGCGCACGGCGGCGGGCTCCGCGGCTGCTGGACCGGCCGGGGCGGTCGCACGAGGGGTGAGGGGGCCTTCTGCCCCGGGCGGGGAAGTCCGCACGGTGGCGGCGGCGGGGGCTTGCGGAGTGGGGGCGCCGGCGTGGCTTTGCACATGGCGAGAAGGGCCGTCCGGCACGGGCACACTGGTCGAGTCACATTTTT